GTAAATGTTAAAGATCCCTTCTGGGACACGGTGGCACAGCAGTTCCCATGAATATAATCCTGATGAAAAATAGACAGTAAAGGGTAATGAGGTGATCTCACCTGCTCAACATGTTGAAATACCAAAGACTGTATATAAAGATGGAGGACATGACAGCTATACCCAAAAGTGAAAGCGTCTTGAAGCAGTATAAGTCATAAACCTATCCAGCCACCATGTAACACATTCATATTCTCTGATTTAATAAAAGATAATGCAAAATATGCGGTGGGTATATGCAATACGTGACCATTAAATGACAAATGAAAGAAAAACACTGAAATCATCTATGCAGTGTGAGTATTGTCCAATACTATGTTCAAATGCTCATGTACAATACTTAAATTAATTCTGCATGCCAATTATGCGCTGCACAAATATCTGAACATGTTAATTCCAGCTTTACACCCAATGTGTACAATATTTGCATTACCCTGAATATTTAACATATTAAGCTATATCCACAGTCAGTGGTAATGCTTCTATCTGCAAATGCATAACATAAAGAGGCACAATATTTCTATAACCCCACTGAGGAATATAATAAAAAAAACTATTGTGTTAATGCTATAAAGTGTGAATGGCTTAAAACTGTATAATAAAGAAAGCTGTTGCATTTTTTTTGTCAGACTTGTGCAACTGCCCAACAATGCTGGCACCGAGCACCAACAGCCTGTTCACTAACATTATTAGTGCCAACCCAACCTCTGCTGCTTGTCTGGCACCACGCTCTATTTTAGGCACCTTACTTCGTCATGTGTGAATCAGTATTCATCGAGTGAGCTAAACTGTCCCAGAACACACCGTCCTGCGCTGCGGCCGAGCTGAAATTAACGAGAATTTCATTTCAACTCAAACTGAAAAGAGGGGACAAAAGGGTGGAGGGATGACAGCGAAAACCCATGTGACAGACAGAGGGATATACACCGACAGTCCAAGGCACACAGAGATAAACGCACTAATAGGAAGATAATGAAACACAGAATAGAGAGGCACAGACAGGACGTGGGGATCCTGCCATACCATAGAGCGCAGTGAGCTACAGGACATCCAGTCCAAGTACAGTAAATCCAACAAAATCTGGCAACCCAGTGATCAAATCAGTGTTCCCACACAAGAACGACTGGGGCAGCTATGGGAACAGAGTGTCCAAGTAAGTACATAACAGCACTCTCTATTGCACTACTGAGGACAGACTGTCAAGAACCTAGACCGAGAAAATTAATGGATATACTGGCTAACTGCCTTGCATTCAAGGCTTCTTATAGGTTTTTCCATTGCACGACATGGATTACACAGGCCGAGCTTCTAGTATTTTCTTAAGTAGTGGTGTGGTTGTAATACCTGCCTTTTGGCCAGCTGGCTGTAAATGGAAAGATGTATGTAGTTTCAGAACTCCATAACACCTGGATTATGTTTATAGAAACCTTTAGCAGCAACAGGAAGTAGGATGTTTATGGATGTGTGTCCATCTGCACACACTTCCACACATACCACACCGAACATGGTGCCAGTGCTCATGGAGGGCAGTTTCCTGGTTTTTCTGCTATTAATCATCCTGTAGCTCACAAACCAAACTATGATGTATTTGTTCGGATTTAGGTTTATATGGTTGATTGATGCTACAAATTAAATCTTGAGTGGGTAAACACGCACATGATGGAAATGCATCCGAACACTTCAACAGCATATGAACCCTAGCATTGTTTTAACAGCCTTTATTTCAAACGTTAGAAGCTAAGGAGACAAGCTGTGCATGTTGAGTGGAGATTGAAAGGGGAGGGAGAGGACAGAGAAGGAAAGTGACGTAATCAGGAATCATATGGCCATGTCAAACAGCTTGCCATGTGATTCCTGACAGCCTCTGCGCTGCGTCGTTCTGCGCAAAGGCCAAGGAGTGAGGTAAGAAGGAACAGAGGGACAGAAGTATGAAGGTCTGTCAGAAAGCACCCGGAGGTCGGAAAATTCAGTAAACTAAACAGAGAAACCTCTCAGCAGCGGGCTGCATGACTGGGCTGAATGTGTGGAGGGCAGGGAGAGGGGTGGATAGATAGAGACTGACAAAGATAGATAAAGACAGTGAGAGAGAAATGGCAAAGAACTGCACAGATGTTGAGGTCTTAAGAGAGAGTGGGCAGGAAACAAGAATGTACCTGCTCATTGTCCCACTTGTCAAACCCGAGACAGATCATTCAGGTCTTCTAGTATCTAAAACACTCACAGGAGGAGTACACATTTGCAAGAGAGCAGCATTACCAATCATTCCTCTGTGTGTGTAGGAGTTTTACAATGGAAAAGTGCTTAATTAATTTTCCACTGAAAATCACAATGAGACTTTCCAATGAAATCAACAATGGTTAGACACCTCCTTCTAGGACTGGTTTGCATTGATATGAATCCACCTACTAACTTAGTCTGTATGTTGAGTGTTTTTCTCAAGAACCATTCAGCCAATCTGCTTCCCACTTGGCATGTGAATTGTTTAAGGCCCTGGAAAATGCAATGTTGAGTTTGGTGTGATTTGGACATGCGATACGTTCAATATTTATAAACTTTGAATCAACATGTGACCAGCACTCCATAGCAGGAGTGGGAGGGAATCATCAGCGTGAGAGACGTTGACGATCACATCAATGACAAATGGTTCTCCAGTTCGCGGTTCTGCGTAGTGAGCTGTGCGGTCAAATTTATCTCAACTCTTACATTGATTTCAGAAAGCACCCAACACTGAGCTCAACAATGACCCGAAGGATACGGTCAAGAAGACACTGGAGTAGCCTCTGTCCCTGTGACTGTCCTTGAGTGGCCCAGCCAAAGCTCTGGCTTAAACCCCACAAAGCATCTGTTGAGAGACGTGAACACAAGAGTTCACAGATGCTTACGTCCGATCTGTCGGAGCCTGAGAGTATCTACCAGGAAGAGTGGGATAAACTGTCCAAATCCAGGTGTGGACAGCTTAAAGAGACTTAACCCAAGACGACTCGAAGCTGTAATTGTCGCCACAGGGTTTGAGTTTGTAATTTTTAATAAATTAGCAAATAATTTGAAACATGTTTTCACTTTAGATGAAGTACTTTTCTCAGACAGCTTTTTTGATGTCTCTGCTACATCGTCAATAAAAAAGGTTGATAAAAATGATGCTACGTAGAACCATACATTATCTCTGGGTATAAGTGTGTAGTGTGTCGTGTGTCACACTGGCTTTAAGTCAAATATCCTGGTCAGTTAATTTTCTGCTCTCTAACTCATTCGTGGAAGCAGGGCTGATTTGATGTGGGGCCAAAGCTGCAATAAATATCAAAGGCAAGTCTAGCCATTACAAACTGAGGTGTTTGGTTGAAAAAAAGCAAAGTTGTCAGTTTTTTCTGACCACAATCATCTGATTACTGTAAGATCATAGAAATAATTTACCTTCACCACTAATCTCCAACTCCCTTCCAATTCCCCGCTCCACTTCCTGGTCTATACCACATTCTTAACAGGATATCTGAGTCCCGCGCAGATCACCCAGTCGCATAAATTGGTTTCTGAATATTCACCAGACATACTGAGCCAAGGTTATGTCACAGCTAGTAACTCAATGCAAAGTTCATAACCACTTAGTGAGACAATAATCTTTGACCCGATCTACCTTATGAACCGGGATTTACCATGATGTGTTGAATTTACTCTTCAGGTAATAATTTAAGCCCAGAAGGAAGAGGCTTCAAGGCTGAGTCCAGCATTAACCATGTAGAACTTTATTTATGTCACAGATGGTAAGGCAAACCCGCAACGTTCCGACTCTTTAAGCAGTTACTGGATGCCACTGATTTACCGATTCATCAAGTGATATATGAGATGATGTTTTAAACGAGAGTGGGTCATATTAAACCCAGACTTGCTTTTGGCTCATAACAACTTGACTGGAAGTGCAGTCTCGGAGCCATGACCAGAAGAGGCCAGGATCACAGCCAGGGCTGGGTATTTATGAGAAATAGTCCTCCCTCACATTACTGTAAACTGGTATGTTACTGTAACCAGCACAGGCTGGCCCCATGTGAAGATCATTAAAAGTGACGATTGAGGGACTTTGACTTCCAGGAACAGACAGGCCAGTCTTTAAATCTTTGTCAACACATGAACACACAAATGCACAGAGGCTCACAGAAATGCAGCCATGTGTGGTGGTAAACATACAAACATACACAAGTTTGTGCAGCTATCCTCATTAGGACTTTGCATTGACTGCCATTCATTGTGGACAACCTAACCAAATCCTTAGACCTAACATAAACCAAGACCAATTCATACCTAACCCTGACCTAAACACAATTCACATCTGACCTATAACCTAACCTTCACCAAGAACAAGTTTTCAGGCATTAGGATCAGGCTTTGGTCCCCATGAGGTCTACTGGTCCTGACAAGGTCAGTGTTTATCGTAGAAAGGGTCCCAAAGAAGTGGCAAAAATGAGTTCACACATACACACACACACTGCTCCTCCGCTCTTCACCTCATTCTTTTCAAACAGAGCCACAAACCCCCTAGCGCACACACATGCACTGTACAATACAGTACCATCATATGCAAGCAATCAACGTGCCTCGGATGGGCAAAACATGGGGGCAGATGTAGAGAAAGAAAGAAAATTCCGAACTGCTTATGTCTAACGCAGTGCTGACCACTAAAAACAGCTGATTTACGATGTTCAAAATCTGCATCCACCAAAACAAGTCACACATGTCTCAGTTATCAGCACAACATAAAAGTAAATCAACATCAGGAGATGTCTCATATCCTGTTTTTCAAAGGGAGAAAAGATCTGATGATGTCCTCCCATAATGTATGAGGGACAGTGTTTTGGATTAGGTGCAGCCACAGTAAATTATATTTATGTTTCCCCCCCTCTGAATCCCCGAAAAGTCAAAGTTTCTGAAGAGAGATGAAGCTCCAGCACCACAGTGTGTCTTTGACTTACATATTTGCCAGTGGTGGGTTCTCCGGGAGGTAGAGACCCTGGACTGAGGACAGGTGAGCTTGCTGGACTGCAGAGCTCTGGGAAGGGGTTAGGGATGGCCGGGAGAGACGATGTCCTCAGCTCTTCTTCCTGCAACCTCCTAAACAATGGAAACAGGACAAAGGCAAAGTACGGTGATGGGTTGGTGGCTCAATGTGTTTGCTAACTATCCGTGCATCATTTGACCTGGAACAGCCTCATAAAAAGTCAAATGAGAGAACTTTTGAAATAAGACGTGCTGACACGTGGAATATGTGCGGGGGAGAGTTAGAATTAATAAAGCATTGCTGTACAGTATCCAGGCTCATGTCTGTTTCTGTCTGATCTACCCGTAATGAACAGTCTCCCGGCAAGTGGAAATCACAGACCCCTGCAGCCTGCTAGCTTATTTTCTGCAATATTTATCACGTATAAATATTGAATCAAGACATCACTTTAAAGACGTTTTTTTTAATTAGGCACATACAGTGTAAGCTTGTGGCCGGATGGAGGGGGAGTGATGATTTGACAGTTGATGATAAACTTTTCAGGAATCAATCATGATTTAAAGATGCGCAGGTCAGTTTGTCAGATTCTAGCTCCACAGTGAGATTAGACAATCAGTGCACAAGAATCATTCTCCTCGTCTCTTTCACTGTCAAACTCATTCTCTCTGTAGAACCCAGCGAGTTCAAAAGGGAATGGGCCTTTTGATGTCGTCCCATCTGAGCTTGAGAACAGGGTTATCCAGAGGTCAGGCCTGAATAATAAGAACTTCAGGGCCCGTGTCTGCGTGTATGCGTTTGAGAGGGAGAGCTCAAAAGACAGAAATACTCCATTAACTGATTACCCCTCCTCCATTTCTATCAAATACTCAAAAGGTGAATAATAGGAGCTGACACCAGCTCTGATGTGAATGCCTGTTTGTGTGTATACTATGTATGCAACCATACTCCTGTTACCGCAGTGTCTATGTGCATGCCCACTTTCCAATGCATACCACTATATGCCCCAGGGAGAATATGGGTTACCACTGTTTAAATTGAGAGAGACATTTGCACTTGGTACTAAAATAAATGAGACTTTTTACCTTTCTCCTGCTGCTTGTGTAGTTTGAGACAAAGAGGTACTGACAAGGAGGAACGGGTCATTCAAGGGCTACAGATATGGAGCTGGGAGGAAACGTGCCCAATTATTGGGAGGGTGTGGAGGGATGAGTGTACAGTGAGAGGCTTCTTTTCCAGGGCGAGCGAGAGAAAAAGGTTCTGCACGTGCAGCTAAACATGTGCAAATGTATAAGGTCAGAGGGAGTTAACTCACAGCTTAGTGCCACTATTTGGTTACCAGAGAGCATGTGACGCATGTAGACTTTCTCAAGTACTACTGTAGATTTATTATGACATTTACTCTTTTAATACATACATGAAGCATATATAATTTAGGATAACTTCTTCATGCTTGAGATGTGTTTTGATAAGGTGCACAGGCAAAAGGTATCACTTCTTTAGTTTATCCTGGGGCATACCCCAGGGATCTGTCCTGGGGCCACTCCTATTTGTTACTTTACACATCAACAGTTTTGAAAAAAAAAGTTTCTTACTTAAATTTTCACTTTATTGTGGATAATAATTTGATATTCTGCTCTGTGTCTACAACAAGAATGGCAAGTTATTGTATTTTCTCTCAGAACTATCTCCAAAGCCTGTACTGAATTGTGAAAAAGGGCTTTGGAGTTCACTGCGCTCTTTGGAATAAGTTGCAAGATTCCGTTTTTGACGTAAAGAGATGGAATCACTGGATTCATTGAAAGATTATTCAAGTAACTTTTACAGGACTTGATGATAGATGGAAATGTCTAACCGTCTGATTAATATTGCCCAAGTTGGATCCTTGATGATATTGTAATGTATTTAATATTTTTATTTATTTATTCAATAAATACCTGCGCTAACTGAAACCAATTTGTCAAAGTTGTACTTGTGTTTCACTTTTCAACCATAATTAATATTTTACTTTTATAGAGCTTAACCGTAATTATTTATCAGATTTATATTATTGCATCAAAATTGCCACACAAAGTCAAACCGAAACTGTTTCTGCCATTTGAACATGTTTTATCGTGAGAGCATGTTTAACTTTTCCTGTGCTACTGACTGTTTCACTATAGTAAGGACACGCCCCTCACTACACCACACTTTGAGCTGCTGAAGAGGAAAGAGGTATTCAAAAGTATTCAAATCAATGGTGCAGAAACCTACCTGACAGCGAGGATGTGCATAGGTTGTGACCGTCGGAGGCTGGTCTGAGGCGAGTCTGCGGATGAGGACGAGGAGGGCGGTTCCGGCAAGACATGGCTTAGCGAGTGCTGACCCTGCCGTGGGTGGTTAGGTTGTGTGTGATGATGATGGTGGTGGTGATGTTGGTGCGAGGAAGTGGTCTGTCCGTTGTGCAGTAGTGGGGTGGACTCTGTCTGCTGACCACTGCAGGTGGAGTAGAGGCTCTCCAGCGAAGAGTTCATATCATTAACCAGGGCCTCGAGATCAACATCATCTTCTGACAACAGAAAGGAAAACTTCAGTGAGACAGAAACTTGATGAACCCAAATGAGTATGTGATGCACCAGTTATATGCTTCTGTAAAATGAACAAAATAAGTAGGTTTTAAAGACAGTGGAGGACAAGTGAAGAGAACTGAACTGAGCAAAGAATGTGGAGCAGGAAATGGCAAAACCGGACTGAAACTCAAACTCTAAATGCAATAAAGTACAATAAAGCAAAAATGAAAGTCCTTCAATCCTTCAGTTTTGTTTTGAAACAGTTGAGACACACACACAAAAAAAAGTCCATGGACTTTGTTGGGACTTTCCCTTTTCTATTTCAGTTTTTCTCTCATTTCATTGTGGCCAGGATATGAACCCTTGACCTCACTTTTTACCACCTTGATTCCAACACTAAAAAGAGGAGAAAAAAACCCTGGCATGCACAAAACACACATATATTGTGAACCAGTTTTGCCAGTGCTCAATCAGCAAGCATATCTTGACTCCACACACCGTGCTGCCCCGTGCGCTAAATCTGCCATGATAACAAGTACAAGCACAAACCTGCCTGTGACACTTTTAAACTCTCCTCACTGAAGTTCACGGCGAAGGCATCGCACCACAAGCGTCTCCTCTTCACTGCAAGTATCAAACATTCTGCTTTTAAAAGGTCTTTAAAAGCGGGACGTGCAATTCTTTCAGCGGAGGAACCCATCCTCAAAGCCCTCCAAAAACCTCAAGGCACATTTGAATTCGTGAAGGGAATTTTTCAACTGACTCCGGGAGCCTGTCGTATCAAAAGTTTGAAGCGAGCTCAAGTGAAGGGAAGCTCACATCTAATTGCTTCATGCTGTGAAAGTTTCATCATCTGGCCGCCCTGACTCTTTGTAAATTGCAATCTGCAGTGGCGATGCCTCTTGTGATTAATAATTCTGAAATATGAGAAAGAAGTCCATGTCTTTACTTCATCATCAAATCTCTGTCCAAATCCCACAACTGTGCGGCAGGACACAAATTGACCACTAGGGGGAGACAAGCTGTAGTTGTACAGGGCAGGAGCTCTGAAGCTGATGTGGTCATGTAAGGGAGCCTCAGACACATATTAGGACATTAGGACAAGGCCTCAGGATTAAAATAACATTAATCACAAGGAAACCCATTACGAGAAAACTTCCCTCATGAGTCAGGATAGAGTCGCATTGAGATTTGCACTCAAATTGAGAATAATCTAAAATAACTAAAATGTATGTACATTTTAGTGTGA